AAGGAGAGCCACAGAAATTTTATGGCCATGAACTGCTTTCGGTCATTTTCTTGGACTGTGTTTCTTTCGATTATTACTGTACAGTAAGTTCTTGATTGCTGATGGTTATTTCTCAATTATTTCTTGTTTTTGGCTCTTTCCTAGTGATAACCTCCCTTGCCTTGTTCTTTTCTACTCAATTCTGTTAATTGATTCCCTTTGCCTGAGGACATATCTGAGAGAAATGCAAGAATGCAATATAGTGCAATTACTTTTTTTATTCCAAGAGCCTGGGTTTGGAGCTGCCTTGGGTTTCACTGTCAAAAAGCACCTTGCATGATTCACCCAGAATTAAGTAGCCATTTTACCTTAGGCAACATTTCAGCAGGCAACATAATATCACAGGGCCTGTCAGTCAGCCACTCATCTATGATTTAATATGTGAAGAGAAAAATATTAGCCCTTTATTTGAACTTTTCTTTATGCGTGTTTTTTTTTAGATTCTTGTCCAGCTCACTGCACTTCAATGATTGCCTTGCAGCTCCAAGAGCTCCCCTCCCTAGCACAGACTCCATTAAGAGTAGAGATATATTTAGCATCTAGTAGCAGCAGAAAGTCCTAATGAGCGAGAGACATTCTTTTTGACAGCTTTGCTTATTCGTCTGCCTGTCACTGACAACTTGTATATTTCCTCCTTGCACTCTTACAGCTTTATTATGTCTCTCGGCCTCCTCAGCTTCTCAGTCTCAAAGCACAGCACAGCAATTTTCAGCTTCCAGTGAGACATTTATTTCCTCATGAAAATTCTTATTTTTTTTCCTTTTTCTGATCCATAGCTACTAGATGGCTTCTCATTTGTCACATGCAAGGCTTGCCCTCATCATTCAAAATGATCTATCAGGCATGCCGCAGGATCATTACACCTTTGTGAAAGATCATGGAAATATTTATGTGGATACATACTGTACACAAGAATGTTTTCCTGGAAATTATACACAAGAAAAGGATCATTACAAATCTAAAAATATTGAAGGTATTTATAAATAATGAAGACGTGTAAAGTTTAAAGATGTTTTATCTGAGTTGTAAAAAGAAATTATAACAAAATCAATGTTTTTCAAAAAATAAAACCATCTGATGAAATAAAACTTCTCTGCATGGAGACGTTGTAAAATAAGAGGACATTGTACTTCATGTGGAGATACACCTCAAAGATTTTTTTATATATCTCTCAAAATAATTCTCCAGTATACAATGATGCATTCCTGTTATATTTATATACTAAGAGTTTGCTGTGTCACATGCCTGCAGTAGTTGTAAACCTTTTGCTACTTTTAAGCAAACTACAGCAGCTGTCAAAAAACTATTGCAAATCCCTTTAGGCATGGATTCAGGTCATCATGTACTTGGCATACTAGAGACCTTTTCCACTGCATTCAGAGATTTTACTGTCAATACAAAACAAGGGTGAATTTCAATTTTCACATGTGGAGTTGAT